GTTGACCCAAGGAAATGACTCAACTCCGTGTTGGAAGTTGGCTGGTGTTAATCAACCCTTCTCCACACATGCCAGCAACTTGCCTGTTGAATGCTAATGAGGTTCTTTCTCCCTTGCAGTCTGTATGGACAGAGACAAAAGGGGTTGTTGTGGGGCTCAGGAGGGAATCCTGGACCTAACGTTAGCAGACCTGTGGTTGTGTCTCTGCTCAGAGACTTGCCCATGTGTTTAGGGCGGGAGTAACAACTGAGGGGGAAGCTCTTTACCTGGTCGTTCCTGCTCATCCCTTAAATAGAGTTGCCAGATTTAAATAAACATACAGGATGCCTAGTTACATTTGAATTTCAGATAAACAATGGATAATTGTAGTGTAATGTTTGTATAGTGCTTCAGGGTATTTTCGGCCATGGACTTGTACAGTGAAATATGCCTGTGGCAAAAAGACTGTTAGACCTGGATTGACAAGGTGGCTAAGACAGAACCCAAGGTCAAAAGGATCGCAGGGTTGAAGAATTCTTTGGGTGACGGTCTTGGGGGGAGACCATTTGATTGTAATTGCCCAGAGCCTCCCTGCCATCGTCTGCCCTGCCAGGCCACAATAGTGATGGTCATGCCGCACCCTCAGGATCACAGCAGCCTCCATTCTCTTCTTACCTGCTGACGACTAAAAGCAAAATCCTTGGAGGTAGGGCTGAGCCACCACATCCTTCAGGAAGCCGCTTTTGAACATTTACCGTGTGCAGAACACTGCGGCTGTGCTGGTGGTGGTTAGAGGTTCATGTTTGTTCTCTGTCTATCCTCTGCTTGGGGGGTAAAGTAGTAATTAAGCACCCACTCCTGTGTACAGAGCTCTCCACCAGGCTCTGTGCTCGTGGTGACAAAAGAAATGGAAAACACAGCCTCACATGTGCCTGTTGGGACGGCAGAGAGCTGAGGCTTTTATTAACTCAGAATTGGAGTTATCCTCCGTGGCCTCACTCTGACTTTGTGGCGTGTGTCTCTTCCTGGGTGTATGTGTAGATAATCGCCATAGTCGTCACCCGAGGTGCATGGAGCCCCCCACCTCCTGTCTTGAGAGTGATTCGTGGCAAGTCTGGAGGGGGGAAAGGGAGGTCCTGGCTTGTGGCCTTGCAGTGAAGGGAACCAAGTTCATGGCTTATTTGGGGGCCAAACATTGTGCCCTTGGTATTATTTGGGAAACAGACTGGACGAGGAATCAGGGGAGCTGTCCAGTGCTGAGAAGACCTCATAAGGCATCATGGCAGAGCCCGAAAGAGATGGGCTTTGATATCAAGAGAGAATTCACTTTAACTTCTGGCCTTGCTGTTTATAAACAATGTCACTTTTTCTGAGCTTCAGTTTCCTCTTCTATGAAATGGAGGCAGTTGTAATATGAGGATATTTTTGAGGATTTCATGGGATAAAATATTTGAAAGTGCTAGCAGATAGCACTGTGTCTGTCACTGCAGCATTTCCCATGCTCATAGGACCTTGGAAACTCCTCTGTTATGACACTCTTCATGGTGAATTATAATTATTTCATTTCTGTGTCTGCCTACTTCCACTAGACGGGGCCAGGGCCGTTTCCTGCCGTTCACATTCCCTTGGCGGCATGCCTAGGGCCTGCTACTTCTGAGGCCCGGAGGCGTCCTGTGCTGTATGCACTTCAGGACTTGGGTTTTGCCTGAAGATGACGAGCCTTTACATCTTGCGTCTTCCTCCTGCTCTCCCCTGGTCTTGCTGTTTATAAACAATTTCTCTCTTCTCTAACTCTCCACTGACTATGGGCAGAGCCCATCCTGTGCATCTGCTTGGTGGCAGGGGTCTTAGGACTATGTTGGGCCGTGATCATTAGGCCCTAAAATGCACAAGGACAGATTTCCAGCCCACTCCTGCATGACCAAACAGATCTATGTTCGAATAGCATCCCAACTGTGCTCCCCGCTCCTCTCATTGGCGAGTTCCAGGATTTCTGTGGTATTGTGTGCCTTTATTACTTTGATCGGTGTAGTCCAATTGCTCAGTCATCCCTTGAGCCTCATACTTGCCACACTCTGGGCTGGGTGTGGGGGACATCAAGATGAGGAAGGCAGTCTCTTGCTTGAGGTGCTTCCAATCTCGTGGGGGAGACAGATGTGGAAACAGAGAATTTCTCTCCCAGTCAGTAAGGACCACAATGGCAGTGGGCACAGAAATTTATGGACCCACAGAGTCAGGGTCCTTTTCCTCAATTATCTTCTCCCCCTAAGAATCCCATGGCTCCCGCTTCTAACAGACGGACAGGGGAACCAAATCGTAGTTCTCACCCTCAAGGACGATTTGAACACTGGGAGGTAGGGAGCAGCGAGTGGCCAGACTGCCTCAGCCTAGTAGACAGGCCTCCTGCACTGGAAGAAAATCAAGTGTAAGGGCCAGGGGAGACGGGCCACAGGCTACATGGCCCTGGCTGAAGTGGGACTTGGAGGACTTGGGGAGCAGGTAGTTCAGCCGAGGGCTGCACTTAATGAAAAGAACTTATCTCCTGGCTGGCTACCCGAGGCCTCCAGACAGATACCATATTTCCTCTTCTCTCTGTAGGTTAGCTTTATTTACTCTTGTTCTCTGTCCCGCGTGAGCTTTCTTATCTCTGACATTTGCTTCTCCACCAGCTTTGATTTCTTTTTATTTTCCATCTTGTTTCCATTTCCATGTTTTCTTTCACTGCTCAATTTCCTCTCCTTTCTTTCTCCTCTCCCTCTATCATTTCCCCCTCTCTCTACACTTGTGCCTTTTTGCCTTTTAATTTTGTCTTTCTGCCCCTACCTCCGTGTTCTGAAATGTATCTTGTTCAACTCAAGGGCTGGGGAGGACATTTTCATGTGCCACAGCCCTTTTTATGCCGTGAAAGAGCATTTCCTGTGTGTCTGTGTGTCCCAGGAAACATAATTCTGGATCCTGACCTGGGCAGATTCTACCCAGGAGCGAACTAAGACGGAGCGAACTAGAGTGAAGGAGAGGCTCCATGTGCACCTCAGAGACCCCAAGTTCAAAGCTCCTTCCCCTGTTAGCAGAATCAGCTGAACAATGACCCCATTTCTGCCTCTCCAGTTTCCTATCTCCACCTATCTTTGAAGTTTCTCTTTACCTCTTTCCTTAAAAAAAAAATTCTGTCCTTTTGATCTCTCATCTCTTCAGAATTTCCTTACTTATTAGAAATTATATCACTCCCCCCTCAATCCCCCTCTTTGGCCTTGGAAGACAGAATCAAAAACAGTCAGAGACTCCGCTCCCTGAGTCCCTCCTTCTCAGATGAGGGCGTGGAAGTTTGGGAGACATGGAGAAGACTTGGGAGCCTTGCCTTACTCCCGAGATCCTTAATGAGAGTAGGATTTCTTTCTGGTTCTTATTTTGAGGTTGGATTAGTATAGAATTACAGAATCTCAAATTTCAAAGAGATCTCCATTGGTCCTTTAAAATATTCTTTAACCCAAGTGGGAACCCTCTTAACTTCCTAATAGATAGTTGAGTACTTTTAATGTTAGGAAGCAGACTGCTTTGGTGCTGGGCAGCTCTTCCTGTTTCAAAGTTATTGTTCAGGGTTCTGATGTCCTGGATCTCTGTGCTTTGTTCCTGTGGACTCTCTATCTGCTTCTTAGAGATACTGTATAGCATAAGCCTTTCATTCACATTCTCTTTCAAGTACTGAAGGCACTTCAAGTATCTTCTTCAATACTTGAAATGTTTCAGAGGGTTCTACCAAAAATAATTAAGTGGAATGAAGTATTCTTGGCACCCTTTGACTATGTAGATAATTCACTTTTCTAAATGACTCATCCCCCAACGGTTCCAGATAGCTGAAATTGTCCTAGAGTGGTTCTGAGGGAGGTCAGGGACTATCCCACAGAGAGAAGGCTAAAATTAGAGTTGCAAAACCAATTTCATTAATGTTTGTGTTGGATGCAATGTCTGTTTTGCACATTATAGTGTACAGGCCTCTCTTGATATTCAATACCCTGTCATTTTATTTTTATACCTAGGCCTTGATACTCCCCCGTTCTGTAGACAAGGCTAGTGAGCCTCATCGAGGTTGAGAGACTTGCCTAAAGTTGCCCAGTTCAGGACTTAATACCAAGTTCTCTTGACTCTGGGCCTTTTGCTGAGTTTTCCATTAATACTTAAGTGTCTTTGTCTCTCCAAAGTATCTGCAGTGTCATGAGGTTATATGAAATAAATTGTCTCCTTAAGACAAGGAACTTGGTGTCCACAATTTAATAGGATTTTTATAGTGTGTGTGTGTGTGTGTGCGCGCGCACGCTTCTTTCTGGCTATGGCTGTGGAATGTGGATAGGATTTTTATTGTGTGTGTGTGTGTGTGTGCGCGCGCGCGCGCACTTCTTTCTGACTATGGCTGTGGAATGTAGAAAAATGGAAGCAAAGAAACCAAACCCAGGTCACACAGTGATTCTGGACAAGTATAAATATGCCATATGGGGACCAGTAGAGTTATTCCTTAATTATAAGCATCCCAGCTGTGTGACTGATTTGTCTAGTTAAATTTAAGTGTCAAGGTGGAGAAGGGTGAGTTACTCCTTTATTGTACTTAATCCAGAGGAATTTTCTAAAGGAGATAGGAGACAGGGGAGTCTAAGAAAATTTTGAAATAAAAAGTGTGAGGGCTTTGGTGGGTTGGAAAGCAGGGAAGGAGGTTTGCAAGGAGCAGAGAGCAGTGCAGGGAACAGGCATGGGGCAGGTGCTGGAGACCTTGATTTGGAGATCATGATTTGGAACTAGGATTCTGACCTGATGATACGTTTTCCTTCTTTGCAAAGTGAAATCCATGGGGCTAAATTTAATTCCACTTGGAACCACTGGTGATTCACCCCAGCACAGGTGCGCCCACACACAGCTGGCGTCAGCTCGGTGTGCTTTCCCGCCTGATCCTTCTTTAACCCAGCTTCCCACCGGGATAGGGAAGAGAGCCAGACCCTGCTAACCTTGACCCTCTGTGTCTCCGTCTGCAGCATCCTGGCCACTGCGGGGACCCACTTCAACACACATGTGGACCTGAGGACCCTCCGGGCCGTGCGTGTCCTGAGGCCCCTGAAGCTTGTGTCAGGGATACCCAGTAAGCACCATCTTTCTTCCTTCTACTCTGCTAATAGAGTCCCTGACATGTCCTCATCTGATCCTCGTCTAAGAGAATGTGGGGTAAATAAGAGACAGTGTCTCCTGGGAGTTAGCTCCCCTGGTAATAAACAGTGTGGATGCAACAACCGGATATAACATTTCTTTTTGAAACTTAGCAGCTTTTTTTTTTCTTTCAGATTTAAACATAATGAAAGATCTTTATAGAAACTTGGGAAAATACATGAAGTGATGTAACATGAAAATGAAAAGCAACCATTATCTTATCAGAAATAACTTTTTCTTTTTTGTTAATCCTCTCCTGAGGATATCTTTTCCCATTGACTTATTTTTTTTTAGAGAGAGTGGAAGGGAGGGAAGGAGGCAAGGGAGAGAGAGAGAGAAAAAAAACTTCCATTGGTTGCCTCCCACACACGCCCTGACTGGGGCTGGGAATCGAACCTGCAACTCAAATACATGCCCTTAACTGGGAATTAAACCCCAGACTCTTGGGTGCAAGGGCTGATGTTCTAACCACTGAGCACACCATCCAGGGCCAGAAAGAACTTTTAACATTTCTGTATATTTTTTTCTGTACATTTTAAATATAATTGTGATCCTTCTGTACATATAGTTTTAGATCCTGCCCTAAGTATTCCATTTTCCTGACATTAAAAATTCTTCCGAAATATAATTTTAAAACCTGTGTTATAGTCTGTCATAGGGGTCATGACTTGTTTAGCCATTGCTGTGTTGCTGGATATTTAGGCTATTTGCAGTTTTTCCTCCCAGTTTTTCAACTGGGAATAGTGCTGGGGCAAACATCTTTTTGCTTCGATCTTATTCACATCTCTGGTTATTTTCTTAGGCTAGAATCCTAGAAGTACAATTTCCGGGTCAGAGATATTTGATGAATACTGGTTACACTAAGTCTGCTCTCACAGCAGCGACTGGGATGGCCGGGGCTGGGATAGGAGGATGGGGAAGATGAACTCTGACCTTGCTCTCACAGACTCACAGCCCAGCGGGGCGAGGACTCATAGGCTCATTGTAATGAGTGTAACCTACAAGAGGAGCCTGAAAGACAACACGGGTGAAATAAATGAAGGGCAATAGGCATGTACAAGGTCAGGGTGAGGAGGAGGAAGGGACTGATCCATGGGGGAATTCAGGATGGTAGTTTGGCTTGACTTGTCCTGGTTATCCCTTTGCAGACGGTCTTTGCCATTTCAGGACCAATGGTTCTTTTCCCTGCACCACTTGCTCTCCTCCTCCTGGGAGAGGGGAGACTGAGCCCACACTGGCAGGGGTGCCAAGTGAGGCTCCATTTGTCATCCTCTTCCCTTCCTTCCAGGCCTGCAGATCGTGTTGAAGTCCATCATGAAGGCCATGGTGCCCCTTCTGCAGATCGGCCTCCTGCTCTTCTTCGCCATCCTGATGTTCGCTATCATCGGCTTGGAGTTCTACAGCGGGAAGCTGCACCGCGCATGCTTCATGAACAATTCAGGTGCGCTCCTAGACTGTCTCCTGCTTCTTCCCTTCTTCTCCCCTCGGGTCACTGGGGTCATTTCAGGGCCTTAATGAGAGACAGCTTGGAAAAGTATGTTCTATTCCAACCCTACAAAGAGAACCAGAAACTTCCTAGTCAGCAGATCTTTTGAGGCCCAACCAGCCCAGACTAAACATCCCTGTTGAAATTGCAAAGCTAATAACCTTCTAGGTTTACAGTTGGAGGATGTCAAACAGGAGGTCTCAGCTCCCCCATGCATGGTAGAAGGCTATCGGGAGGCTGTCAGAAACTGTCTGTCTGAAGAAAGACCCTGTGTACAGTGGCCTCTTCAACCCACAGGCCTGGAGACCTAGGAGTTCCATGGAGACAGAGAACCAGAAACTTCCTAGTCAGCAGATCTTTTGAGGCCCAACCAGCCCAGACTAAACATCCCTGTTGAAATTGCAAAGCTAATAACCTTCTAGGTTTACAGTTGGAGGATGTCAAACAGGAGGTCTCAGCTCCCCCATGCATGGTAGAAGGCTATCGGGAGGCTGTCAGAAACTGTCTATCTGAAGAAAGACCCTGTGGCCTCTTCAACCCACAGGCCAGGGAGACCTAGGAGTTCCATGGAGATGTGTTTCCTTCGTGGTCCATCTCATGACCTTCCTCCCTCTCTGCTGTGACCCACACACAGTGTGGAGGGACGGAGGCAGCTCTGAGCTTGGCTTGGCAGGGGGCCTTGGGGACTGGTGGGGTACCCGGACTCCAAATTCTTATCTCTTTGTATCTCATTGTTCTTGGCAAGTTGAGTAGCGTGCCCTAGGAGGAAAGAGGATAGGGAGAGGTTGAAGGAGCCCAATTAGGTACCCGGTTGTTGTTTTTTTTTTTTTTATAAACAGAATCTTTAAAGGACACCTTATACTTGGATTTTGATTTCTGATTTTTGTGTTTTATTCAAGACCGGGAATTTAGGCCAGAAAAATAAAAAGAGTTAAGACTCACCAAGGGGACTGTAGCTTATGATTGTTCCCAAGAGGCCCAGAAAGAACTCAGGATCTATCCTGAGTCTGAGGTTTAGAAAATCAGTGAGATTCTGCCTTCAGCTCAGACCTTTCTGTGTGACCCAGTCCTGTAAATTTCTGGTACACAGGTGACGGTAGAGGCTGTGGCCCGCGGAGAGTAGGTGGGCCATGTGCAGGAATGACTCCATTTTCAGAGGAGGTTGAGAAACACTGGGTTGAACACGTGGTATGCGGAGTGTGAGGTGTAGAGAGGCCAGAGATGGGAGGGAGCCCAAGACAACGAAGGACACACCTTTCTGTGGGAAATCGAGTTGCATGCTTGTGGCTTCCTGAGGTCATTTCCAGCTCATGCCAAACACCATGTGGTTTATTCCCCTCCCTCCACATGTGCGTGCAGGTATTCTAGAAGGATTTGACCCCCCTCACCCGTGTGGCGTGCAGGGCTGCCCAGCTGGTTATGAATGCAGGGACTGGATCGGCCCCAACGACGGGATCACCCAGTTTGATAACATCCTCTTTGCTGTGCTGACTGTCTTCCAGTGCATCACCATGGAAGGGTGGACCACCGTGCTGTACAATGTGAGTAGAGCTGGCGAGGGGTGGGGGCAGAGGACAGAATTGGGGCATGAGGCTTCTGCATTGTTTGGACTGGTTCGTCTGGGGAAAGGGATGGTTGGGGATCTGTCTGCATGTGTGCAAGCGTGTGTGCCTCTGTGTGTGTGTGTGTGTGTACTCAATCATGGGAAATCTTAGCCTCCATTTTCTGGCCACTTGCTAAGTGGAAGTACACAGCTTCTTAATACAGGAAATTACAACGCGTATTGGATGGATGAACAGCTAGTTAAATCAGATCAACTCAGCAGTTATGGAGTATGTTCTGTAACAGGTTTGATGTGGTGGTGGGGTTCGGTAAGGGGTACCAAGGGGTACATATTTCTTGGTTACTGTCTTCCAAGAACTTACCATTGGTCTGGAAAGATATTGCCGTAGTTCTTAACCCTGGCTGCACTTTGGAATCAGCTGGGAGCTTTAAAAATTTACACCCCCTGGGCTCCACTCCAGACAAATTAAATAAGAATAGCTAGGGGTAAAGGCCTGTCATTGATTTTTTTTTCTAAAGCTTCCTAGCTGATTCTAACATTCAGCCACTGTCAGGAACCGCTGCATTATAGGCACATAAGAAACGTACTTAATTGTAAGACTCACGGTAAGACTCACTAGGGATGCTGGTGAAATATTCAGATGCGCAGGCCCTTTCTATGCAGGGTGTGAATAGTTGGTGAGCTTTTTACAAGTGCCCCTCATGATTCATATGATCGGACATGTTGGAAAGGTTCTGAGTGGGCACACAAGACAACTGACTGGCTGTCAGGGATGTTAGGATTCCTGCATGGGGCCAGAAGGTAGGCAGGTGACCACTGAAAGGCGTGGTGCAGGTCTGAGTTCTAAAGTAAGACAGGGAGCCCTAGCCGGTTTGGCTCAGTGGATAGAGCGTCAGCCTGCAGACTGAAGGGTCCCGGGTTCGATTCCGGTCAAGGGCATGTACCTTGGTTCTGGGCATATCCCCAGTAGGGGGTCTGCAGGAGGCAGCTGATCGATGTTTCTCTCTCATCGATGTTTCTAACTCTCTATCCTTCTCCCTTCCTCTCTGCAAAAAATCAATAAAATATATTTTAAAAAAATAAAATAAAGCAAGACAGGGTCCGGGATGGGTGCGATTTGATGCCTAAGAAGCCTGGGTGGGCAAAGCCATTTGGGCAGGTTGCCTTGATAAGTAGGTGCTTACAAAGGTCTGTACCCTCATATGCAGCCAGCCAGCCCACCCGCGGTCAGGTACCTTTGGAACGTAAAAAATCAATAAAATATATTAAAAAAATAAAGACAGGGTCCAGGGTGGGTGCGATTTGATGCCTAAGGAGCCTGGGTGGGCAAAGCCATTTGGGCAAGTTGCCTTTGTGAGTAGGTGCTTACAAAGGTCTGTTCCCTCATATGCAGCCAGCCAGCCCACCCGCAGTCAGATACCTTTGGAATGCTCATTCCTCTTACCTGCATTCCCACAGCTGCCTTTACCCTAAGGTGCCCTCTGTTTCCTTTAACCTAGTTTCATTGCATAGAATGTTTTAGGTGGGGCAGAGTGTGGCTTATGCAAAGCCCCTTTAGAAGGTGCTCTGGGCATAATCTGTACTGGAGGGAAAGGAAATGTTCAATCTCAGGAGAGACTCCACCAGATTGTAGTGCCTGAGGAGCCGGGGTTTGCATAAAGCCTGTAAAGTAGGTGCTTAGTGAATGTCCATCACTCACCTGGATCCAGCCCCATACAGGCTGAGCAAGGCAGGATGGAGCTGGCAGAAAAGGAGTCACAGGCGGTTGAGCTAGAGGTCGAAAGGACAGTGAAGAAGTCCCAGGGACCAGCTTATTTATGCCCAGCAAGCCCAGGGGTTACGTCGAAAGGACAGTGAAGAAGTCCCAGGGACCAGCTTATGCCCAGCAAACCCAGGGGTTACATGTGACCTAGAAAGACCTTGAGGACACTCTGGGATTCTCGCCAGCTGTGGTGGGATGGCAGGAAGGAGGGGAGGAAGGCAAGATGGATGAGTGCTGTCACTCCTCATTGGAGATGTGAAGGATGTCTTGAGACCATGTCACTCAGATCAGCCAGGCGCCTCTGGGAATGATAGCACTGGCCCCACAGTGGCGGGTGTCGTTTGTGGGGCTTTGGGAGTGATGTAATTCAATTATATGTGTAGACTCACCTAAGTGATGTGATAAATGCATGGAAAGCCTGAAAGGGGAAGTGTTGCTTTTGGAGATACAGGTGTGACCTGTTGGTCCTCCAGAGCCAAGGCTCAGAGGATATTGAGACAGGCAGGAACACAGATGAAGAAACACTCATCACTTCTATTAGTTTCTTTGTTCATTCATTAAACACATATTAAGTGAGCATCTACTACATTGCAAGCACTATGCGAGGAATTAGGAAAACAGGGAGAAAACGAGTACCATGATCCCTGCTCTCATGGTGCTCTCTTCACATTCCAATTTCTCCCTAGTTATCTACCCAACATATGTATGGAGGTCACACAGACTGACTAACCCTGCTCTCGTCTGTAGTTTTGTGCCACCAAGGAAGTGGGGAGAAGGAGGTCAAGCTGCAGATTCTCTGAAACCTGTCACTCATGGGCTCCCAGCCAGCCCACCAGCCATTGAACTTCATTGTACTGAATGCCTCCTGCTACCCCGTGAGTAGATCCAGTGTCGAGGGAGCTAGTTGAACTATAGGGCTGGTTTCCAAAAAGCTGCTGGCTGCTCATGGGCAGAATGACCTCATGTCCACTTTGAGATGACATCACTTTCCAAAGCCTTGGATCTAGGGGCAGGGCACGGAGCCAGGAGTCCACAGCAGAGGCGATGGCCATAGTGAGGTGGATGACTACACCTCGATTCAGGAGAAGTTGGATGGAAAGGGCACCTGTTTTCAGCCAGTGGCACAAGGACCAAGTCTGGCTCCCTGGGAAGAGAGGACCAGCAAAGGCTGGGCTTCATCTGAGCAGGGAACTGGGGTGTGAAGCAGCCCCAGGAGGTGCTCTCTACTAGGAGCAGACACACGCTCTGGAGTTAGGTTGTCTGCTCCTGGGGCAGCAGGTTCAGCATACTGGACCCTTCCTAGTGGTGGGCACAGGGCTTTTAATTTATATCATGCAAGCTTTTAATTTCCCCAAATTCATCTATTCAGCTTGGACAGGAAAGAGGGTCAGGGAGTGGGAGAAAAATGACTTAAATAGTACAGGCTAATTTACCTACCAATCCTTTCAGTGAGCTCTTGCCCATTGAAAGAAAGTGTGAGATGAGAGATGCCTGGGATCTTGGCTGAAAATCGCAGATTCTGGTAGTCCATGTCAACACTACCTGCGTAGTTTTCTTCTTTTAATATCAACTCAGAGCTTTGTAATGACATTTTGCATATGTATTAGAACTGGTTGCACACCATGGAATGAACAATGAACAACTCGTCAACTTAGTATTATAAATACATGTCTATAGATGTATGTTTCTGCAGATCCAGAAATCGCTCACTGCCATTATCACCACCACCATCACCATAAGGTACAAATGTAGCTTGATGTCTCTTTTCTGCCACCCATTCTAGGAAGGCTCAATGCATCCAGCTGCTATTTCCTCATACCGGCCACAAGGAAAAGGGGAGCCCCTAGTTCCTGGTCCAGCACCTCTTCTATTCACTGGCAGCAACAAATATGGGAGATTTATTGGCGCCAATTATGCCCAGACCAGTAGGAGAGCCTTCAAGTTTACTCTGTACATAGAAGCTCTGGCAAGCATGTGGACTCAGCCTAACCTTTCCATATACAACTTAAGTGCTTTTCTGTGTTTGCATCACTTATCTGCTGCACAGACTCTTCCTAAATGCCTCCCGTGACCTTGTGGTGCCCTGCCACTGATTACTCTTAACTTCATTTGCATGCAGCTTTCTCCTTATAATGCATTATTGTAAAAGGGGCAGGAAGGTTCTCATTGCCATGGCAACCCGAGTCCTCCATGCTCAAGCTAGTCTCTACCAAAATTTCCACTCTGCTTGGTCAAACTCCAACTGTATTCTTGGCTTCCCTCTCCTCTTGTGGTAGGAAGAATGCAAAGCAGTGTGTGGTTCCGCTGGCTGCTTCTTCCTGTTTTGACTATCTCTCCAAACAAAAGTCTCCTCAACTTGCAAAGTCTCCCCTCTTCTTACTAGTTTAATTCAGGTATTGCTCCTAATCTGGATAGGGGTTCCTTCGCCAATACAATGTTCTCTCCAATCTATGCTGTTCCCTCTACAGATGCGACCGTGGCTCAGGAATTGGCTTCTAACCCTCATTACCTGGGCCAGATGGGACTCCGAGAACTGGCTTTCTCCTGATTCTGGTCTTATTTCTCTGTCGTCATCCTGGGCGTGTGTCATCTGCTGTTTGTGTTATGAGGACACGTACAGGTTGCAGAGGTTTCCAGTCTCTGTTCACATTTCCTCTCATCTGGGCTCTTAAAGTCCGGTATTTTTTCACCTGTATTTCTGTAGCTCGAGCTATTTCTCTCCTCACTCGGTGTTGATAAACTTATGCAGATACAGACATTTCTTGGAGACCTGCTGTTTCTCCAGCGATGCAGGTACGCCAGCTGCATCTGCTATGACTGCCCGGGACGCTCCATGCTGCTGGGGTGGAAGAGATTTTTATAGCTTTTACTGGCTTTTGGCAAGAAGAGGCAACTGTAGTCTGGATGCTTTCCGAGAGTCTTCTTGAGTCCTCAGGAGTCCTTTGGTCTGTAACATGCCTATGGCTCTCCTTTAAGTTGCCTTCTCCCAGCTGCACACAGTTAATATTTGTTAAATGGTGAACAGCGACTCACTTTTGCCTTGTTGACATTTTGCTTATGTGTGGCATGCCTAAGAGTAATACCATACCCGAGATTGTTGAAGAAAATGCTATTTCCAACTTCGGAAGCTTCTCTGGTTTTATGGTATCTACAGAGAACGCCGCTGGTTCTGGGGTCCATAAGACCAGGGAGTGTGTTTGCACATCTTTGCTCAG